AGGTCATTAGTTGAGCTCTTCAATTCACTTACAAGATGTGTACCAATCTTACCTAATTTGAACTCTTAACATTTGAAAATCGTGTAGAATCTTTATAGTTCATTGAATGTTTGATAAATGAAATTTGACGTGATAAATGAAATAATGAACTGAATATGAGAACACTGTGTGGCATGAGAAAATGAATTCTCAAAAAAAATTTGATGCTAAATGAAACAATACGAAAAATGATGAAGTGCTTACAAGTTGCATAGATCAGAGAAAGTGTTACAAACAGCTAGCAAACTAGACTCCTCGTTCCATTCAAACGTGAACGAGCCGTTCAGTGTTGACTCGATACGAGGTGCTGCTGTAGGGAATTGTTCAGAGCGAAACAGGCGGAGTGATGCTTCTAGCGAAATGAATCTGAACTGGTTTGATAAGGAACCATAGGTAATGATTGTGAACCGTGCAAATCGGTGCTTCATGTGACAGACCTAGTCTGTTTTTGATGAATGTTTGATACCATATACGAAATTTGCAGTAGTATAAGATGAGCAGTGAATATTCCGATGGTGGAATTTGTTTGCATTAGACCGTCTCTTATTGTTTCGTTTTTCAACCACGCAATGATCTACATAACTCACAATAATTCAGTTTACAATAATTGATTCCAAACTGGAATAGGATGAACTAGCAAACTTCGGAAATTTTTAGAATATGACGGAAGAATTCAAGAGAACATTTTGACCTCAAATGAACAGTGACTGAATCAAGCCAATTTTCACCGAAATCGACTTCGTATTCCGTCTCCAACATATCACCGACGTCACAAAGCCATCGCCAGTGATTATCGTTTAGAGGTCTTTTGCTGAGCCATAACTCTGGCAAGGTTTTCAAAGAGTCTCTTCGAATAATATCACATTCCACGGCATCACTTTGCTTCAATGAGGTGTTCGATGCATTGATTGTGAGCTCAGTTGAACCACTCGGCACATCCAAACGTTCGGCGAATACACTCCATGGGTCAATTTCTATGCCGTTCGCTATGGACATAGATGAATTTCTATTGTGCGAATGAACCTTGAATTGGAAAGATGTTTAGATTGTAAGAACAGGAAAATGACTGAATCAATGAATTAATCGCTAAAGGCGAACATCGTCTGAACGGAGAAACCGCTGACAAAACTCAATGAACAATGTGTTATTTTGTAAGTTACAATGTGTTATTAATATTGAACGTTTGAAAGGAATTGAAGGCATTAAAAAACGGTAATTCTATAAGAAGTTCGATGGAACGATTCGATAGAAAATTTCTGGATAGGTGGAAAGGTTGTCGTCATTTGTTGAATAAAACGCACTGTTCGCAACATTTCAAATCTGATATAATTCACTTTATAAACTATCGTTACATAACATTAATCCACTATTAAACACCCATATTCTGAATCAAATTAGCCAACTGAAAATCCCAGATTCATAGCCATTTATATGACGCCTTCAGTTCGTGCTCTTCTTGATAAAACAAGATGGAAAGCTTGAACCGCTGATTCGATGGTTGCTAGGAAAAATATCACTTCTACGTAGACTTTTCTTCGAATACCGTTCAGTTTGTCAATAGAAGTGATGATGCTATCTAAGAATTCAATTTGAACTCATTGGAATATATTCTCCAGGTGATTCGTACGCTTAACTTCGAGCACTCTCGAATACGTTCATACGATCAGAGGTTCCTAAGCTTCAAGAATAAGAAGCTTAAGACCCTTTCGGCACGTTAAAGATGTCCACGAGCAGTTTCATGTCCGCTTTCAGATTAATTCTATTATACTTTTCCATCTGTCTTCAGTACGTGAAAGCATTTGATGAGAATCGCTTTCAACACCTCTTCAAACCATACCGAAGAAAGAATTGTCGTGGAACACTCCTGATCTGAATATCCCATAGACGGCATCATTGTAGATTCTGTACATTTTTACAGTTTGTAAGAATCTTCGGAAACCTCTGCATTAAACTCTTCATAGCCTTCGATTCTGCACGGTTATGGCCGATTCTTGTTAACCACTAACTTGATTCTGTTTACCTCTGTTATAACTCCTAGTCTAGGCGTACTGTAAAACACTGTGACAATATCAACTTGAATATCGTTAAAACAGCCGTGAAAACAAACAAAATGCAAAATTTTATGTTGTTCTGAAACAAATCAGAAAGCAGCAACTGATTGTTTAAATGAGAAACTCTGANTGAGATTTGCAAAGAGAAATATGCAGAAAAGTGAACGCAAACCACTCGATAAGACTGCAAATGCTAACGCACAACGACTTCACGTCAACGAGCACAACCATGAACACTTCACTTTACTTTACTTCACTTTAACTTTACTCAACTTTACAGAAAAGAAGATGTCAACTGTCAACAACAAATTAAAATGGAATATGAAAAACGAAAAAACAACACATCGACGTGGTTGAGTTAGTGGACATGTGGATGTGGCTGATGCACGTGTGGCTCTAGCTGGTTGAAGGTGGCTGGCTGGTTTGATGAAGTGATGATGAGCTGATGATATTCACTGAGTGATTAGCAGCAGTGATAGGACTGATGAGACTGGAACAATTGAGAGTAGGTCTTTTGAAAACATGATAAACTAGTTGAGGATTCTGCTAGAAGGTTTCTTTGAAATTGAACAAGTTCAAAAGAATTTACAATGAAATTGAAAGGATAAGACAGAGCATGACTCGACAACAATACGACATCATAACAAAGATATTTCAGAGAGGAAATACCGGGTTCATGATAAATTCAACTGAGAATGATGATAGACACGGCTCTAGACATTCTATCGGGGAAACAGACCGTAACCGAATATGACCTGAGACTACGATGTTAAATCGGCTCTTCGTGATGACGAGAAATTACACATAGTGGAATTATTACTGAGATGAAATTGTTCTGATTTCTTTCGATTAAATCGTTGTTCTTTTCAAAATCGACATTGAGATGGGTGGAAGAGCCAGCCGGGTAAGTCGGCTAAATGAGCAATTTGTGGAACTGACTGACCGTTCCGTCCCGCAAATTCGGGAAGATCATCGAGGATTGAGGAGAATGAAATGAAACGGAGGCCGAATAAATGCGTCAAAAGTGAGTGGTGGCTAGTGTGAATATACGGAACAAAATACGAAAAATTCAACTTGAACGTAAGTTTACGAGAACAACAATAACAACAACGACTCAACAAGAATGTGAAAGATCGAAAATGAATTCAATTAAGTAATAATAGCATTGCTACAAAAGAATCTTAAATGATTGTCAACTGAAACATTAAAAGCAAATAAAAGCTAAAATGAACAACAACAGTCATCATTCAAATAGACTTTATTATATAGAACAGAACATAGAACATGGAACTGAACATAACAACTGAACGCGTGACCGAAATTAATTCATCTCAAATTGCATCAATGTCAAAAAGTCCATTCAAACTTTTAGCAAAATATACCAAATGAAATCAAGTTAATTCAGTTCAATACAAATCATTCAGTTCATTTGAACAATAAAGTTAGTCATTTCATGTCATATGAACGAGTCAAATGATCAGCCATACCCTTTCACTTCATATCAAAGATCATAACAATAAATGACATTTTATCTAGTCAATGAATTAACTGATCAGCCATGAATGTGCCACTTCGGATGGGTTTGAAGGGGTGGGGAAGGAAGGTTTGCGGTTCGCTTAAAGGATCAGAGAGAATGATGAAGTGAGAAATGGGAGATTTTAGAGGTGATTGGGGACGAATGTGAACGAATGCTTTAAAAGATGGATTGTTTAGCTGTCTTTAGTGTTGTTGATATTTCCGAGCTGGATCCTAACTGACAACTAGGAACCATTCTGGGAGACAACGTTCGTAGCGCCCGTCTGGGCAGCCTGCTGACCCGACGTTTGCTGTTGTTGCTGTTGTAAGGATTGAGGCAGCTTCGGTCGTTCTTCCAACTCTTTATACTCCAAGGTCATATCCTTTGGAATCTGGAAAAACTTTTCACATTTTTCACACTGATATCTCAACTGAAAACATGCACTGTTCAACCAAAACAGTCAACTATTCTACACATCTCTGAAGAATAAAGACTATCATAAGTTAACTCAATAAAATCATTTCCGAGAGGAAAGGGGAAATCAACTTAACGAAGAAATCAATTAAAAAGCTAAGATCCTAGAGCAAACGATAACTAGCACCAACTTTTCGCCACTGCACAGGATCGAATACATTATAAGAGCCTTTCTCGTAAGTCGATGTTTGCTCCTTCACTCCACCGTATTGCGATCGTGTCAACCACACGCATAATCCCTTATGGAACCGCCAGTCTCGACTGTACAACTCACATGCGGCTGCCATTTGGTACACCTCACCAGGGCAATTGTAAAAGAGGTAGAAGAGAACATCCTCACTAAGCTTATTCAACTTTATATTCGGCAACTTTTCGCGGATCGCCACATTCGTTAGATATTCCTCGGGCACCTGCAACTATAATCTCTTCAAAATCTTATACAATCTACTACTATTCAACAAGTGATCATTTCATCAATTCCAACGCTACACAGGAATAATTCATCCACAGATCACGCATAATATTCCACCAAAAGCATCTGAGCATCGACGATAATAATGATGCTTCCATCGGAAATGAACTCTACCACGGATGATAATCATAAAGGTAATCTCTCGCGAGCATTCCCATCGCATCAATCTCATTATGCAAACAAACAAATACCTTCGCGTCTAAGTCCTGTGTCCTACACGGGAAATCCGCCCATGGTCCACCGAAAGTTGCATACAGATTTCGTCTGAAACGCCAAATAATCACCAAAAATAACACATACCATTCTCACCAATATCCTCTGCTAGATTCGTCATTATCATCACCACAAAAAAAAACGATAATAAATAACATCGAAAGACTGAATCAATAAGATAACAAGAATGAGCATGACAAATAAAAACTCACTCAGGTGCGTTGAGATTAAGCCCAAGCGTGGTAAGATCATGACCCAAGGCTAACGCAACGATTGCGGGATCACTCTCAATCGCCCGCAGGAATGTGAGCAGTCCGGCCATACCAAACTGATCACTCAACATACCGGCTGGGATATTCTTTACGGTACCTGACATCAATCAACAATCCATCAACAACTTATCATACCAGTACTGCGCCAAACAGTCAAGCGTGTAATATGCAAATGATTTTCATGCAATATGCAAATGATTTCAACTACATTTGAACATATTTGCTAACAATAATCTAAAAAATATGGTAATACAAACATCACGTAAACAAAGCTGTTCTATGTTTGATGTGCTCATACAATAGTACCACTCACTATTCACAAAAAACGTGTTCTATGACTGCGAGTCTAAAAGAAACAAAACACAAAAAACATACCGTCTGGAAACGTTTGGATGCCCGTTTTGGTGTTTTCTGATATTGTTGTTGTTGACCTCTCTGTGTACCTCGAATCCGATAACACTCCATCCGTGTTGTTTCCCTAAATCATAGACAATCATAAGCAACGATATTATGCCGAGAACATATCACATCATCACGAACCATTTCCGTTCTTCTACTCTCAACACCATCATCTATCTCCTTGACTATTCAGACTCGCCAGGAAAAAGATACCACAAAAAACCTAGCTCACCACCACAAAAAAATAAACAATACAATTTGCTCTAATAAAGTAAACACACAAAAAATATTCTCCACTTAACCATAACAATAATAACAATAATCGTTCATCGATTCAACACCCTCCATTACTCTCATTCAACAATTCACTGTATTACCCACTTATGAATTAGTTTTTCATTCGAAAACGCATCAAAAACTAAATGAAAACAAAACCAATAATCGCACACAACGCAAATAAACGTGACTACACTTTTGCAAACATCATCATCAACTGGTAGTAAAACTCATCACACTGACAACTTATACTTTCTTTTTTTGTTCGATTGTGCACTTACTTCGTTCAGCGTTCGTGAACGCTATCGTTGGAAACATTTTGAACTATCTTTTTGATTTCCTTCCCTCCCCATTGTAACTCTTTCTGTTCATATGCAATCATTAAAAACACCATATTTTCAAAAATTTTCAAACTTTACGTCGCATGCGAACATCCCTTAAGAATCGTTTCAACAACAAATTACTACTACTACTACAAAACAACTCAATCGTTTGATGCCCATCATCAATTTTAATGACAATTTCTTGATTGACAATCTTAGAAGCTCGCTTTTTCCAACTTATTTTTTACAAGTGTTTTAATTTACCAGCAATGTTATCTTCCTTTCAGTTTCTCATCTTCGGTGAAATGCATTCTCTAATGGCCCGTGTATGCATGTCCTATAACACCACCCCAACTTCAGTATCATTAAAACAGATCGCATCTGCACAATCCTTTCAGAATTCATTCTGTATCTGTGCATATCTCCTGATCGAGCTATAAATAGTATTCCCTTCTCAACTTCAAGCTGTTTACTCCAACCAAATTCAGATTCAATGTATATCTCACGTTCTGAGCAATTCTTCCGACTGAACTGTCCAAATGATATCATAATAATAACAAATATCAAACAACGCAATCATAATTCACTAAGAAATGATATTCCAGTCACATATTCAAAACCCTTCTCCAGATATTCCAAGAAGTGACCCACTGACTCACCAAAGGAATCTGTCCGTGTGTGGCGTCGAGGTGATTCGCGCCCGGTAAGGCTGGGAAGTCTTCGTTTTGAATGTGAAACTCAACGTTGTTCGCCGACAGTGAGTTTCCATCATTTGTTCGCATTAAATTCGCTGCAAACATCACCATCAAAATATATTACAATCTCATTCAACATTAACAAATCAAATCAAACTGCTCACAGAGGAAACGCCAAAAGACTCAACAAAATAACGAAATAACATCCTGTCAAAATGTTAAAATGTTTTTCGCAACCGGAAAACACTCAAATACTCATCGAACACTTCGAATAAATTGATAATTGGCAATTGGCAATTGGCATATACGATCGCTCACAGAATTATCTCAACTCAACACTAATGGGAAAAACTTAAAAACTGAAGAGATCCGTTTTTTTTCGTTCTTTCTGGAATATCCTTTTCGTTTTTTCCGTCTGAAATGATGGAATCTTCCCTTCCCAAACGAACACTGTTCAGTGCATTTTGACGACAACGTTTGCACGAATGTTGCGATAAGTGATCGATGTTAGATTGATGTGATGGAATACAGCAGATGTATGACTCATTTCAACACATCACCCGCTCATCACCAGTAGATTTTCATTAATTATCTTATTCAAATAACATTTTGTTCATTGAGCAACGCTGATCTGATCGTTCACTGCGTTGTGCTCTATTCAGAGGAATTATTTCGTCAAATCCCTTCCCTATTACAAGGGATATTTCAGCGATAATAACACTAAAACCATCATCTTTTTGCACTTGAAGGATAACAATTACGAAGATCTTTCGAGCTGTTGAACAACAGCACACATTCATTTGGCCATATCTTTCGAATCAATCGATCAATTCTATCAATTAACGAATCAATCAATCGATGATCAACAAGTGATCCTTCAATTCAACTGTCAGTCGTCGCTGACCTAATCAGTGACTGCTGTCACACATCATCGTATTCTTCAGGAATGATTACAATTGTTCTCAGCTTAAAATCTTCCCAATATCCAAATGGGACACACTACTTTAGACTACGACAATATCATCACTATACATCTTTCTGATTTCTGTCCTGATGAACTATAGGTTCCTAAAATTATCAAATCGGTTCCCACCAAGATTTTCCTCAGCCAGTGTATCAATCCCTGATTGATTGGTCGATTAATGACATCTGATTACCTACTCAACTTGACCAGCAATAAAACATCTCATTTCAAGCTACACCATATCATCCCGTTTTTCAAATTCTTCCAAGTAAACTCAAAAAACTTCCTTCAAGCTCGATGCAACAGATCATCA